CATCTTTAATTTAAGACCAAAAAAGTTAAAAAATCTTAATCGGTTATCGAGATATCATTATAAACGGCCGAGCATTTTCAGCCAAAAACCGTTCAAAATCGACTAACTCAATGCATTTGTCAAAAAATATGCTCCGACGTTTATAATGATATCTCACGAACCGAATAAGATTTTTAAACTCTTTTGGTCTTAAATTAAAGATGCGACTTGAATGATTACACCTATGAGTAAGAATTTTTGAAACGTCCCAGGCGCGAAGTGACGCCGAGTTCAGGCTTTATAAAGATTGGCCGAGCATTGGTCAACATTGATTGAGCATGAGTGAATCAGCGAGAGCAGGACTGATCGAAGCTTTAATGTAACACCGATTCCAGACTGCAGCGCGAGCCTTGATTCAGCATTGGACATCAATGCTCAATCAATGCTGCGGACGCCTAATGCAGGACTGAAACAAGACTGCTTCCACTGTTCCCAAATTTACTCGTTTCTCACGTTTATTCAATATAATGTGAATATATGAATTATTAATAATAATAATAAATATTATTGTTATTATTTTAATTCATGTGCGTATATATACATATATATTTAATGACAATAAGTTATTATTTGTAATAATTATATTATTTTCATATAAATAAGAATATATTACTAACAATAAATATCATTTAAATAGTAATTTTAAAAAAATAATTTTAGTAAAAAAAGACAATTTTTCTGTTAATCGTTACATTTTTTCTTGATTTTTAACAGACTTTTAACATTATTTATAAACATGTTCACATTTTTTATTCACAACACAACACACAATTTTATTATTTTATATAAACGCTTATAACAAAGAATGAAAAATATTCGCTCGCATGTGGGATCGAAACTCACGCACCCCGCCCCTAACGCATACCGGAAGTTCTCAACGCACGCATTTAAACCGCTCGGCCACAGAAGGCTGGAAGGCTTCTCGCCTAATCTACTATATCAATGCCAGTGCCGTCACTCAACATGGGATACCAATGTTCGTCCCATGCTCGATTCAAGACTCGGTCAATCTTGATACAATATTCAGTTTCTTTATTACCGTGTGCACTGTACAATATTATCTATAAATATTTATAAATTATTTAATATTAAAATATTTTTTCTGATAATTTTATAAGTTAAATTATATATTATTTTTTTCTCGCACAGTGTCAAATTATTATTTTCAAATTCAAGAGTTTCGTTTATCTGAAAAATTTTCAGTGAAAAAAATGTTCATTAGGTAGTGATAAATATTTATGCTTAGTAATTTTACACTAGGATTAACTGTTTACTGAATATTATCAAAAATATATTTTTCGTCAAACGCGCGCGACTAAACACAAATACCACCATCCCATCTACTCAATGCTTTCCCCTCATGACGTCACAGGCGGGGAGTGTATTGAGTAGATGGGATGGTGGGAGCACGACAATCGCAACGTCACGCTGTAAAGTCTCAAGGTTATTTGTGTTTAGTCGCGCGCGTTTGACGAAAAATATATTTTTGATAATATTCAGTAAACAGTTAAACCTAGTGTAAAACTACTAGGCATAAATATTTATTACTACCTAATGAACATTTTTTTCACTGAAAATTTTTCAGATAAACGAAACTCTTGAACTTTGAAATAATAATTTGACACTGTGCAAGAAAAAAAATATAATATATAATAATTTAACTTTATTGATATGAATCTTATATAATTAATATAAATATTATACACTAAATAAATAATAATATTTATTTACCAATTGATATCTTAATAATAATAATAATAATAATACTTATTATATTATTTAATAATAATTAATAATAAGAATAATAATTTTTAAATAGTATAAAAAATTACTAAAAAATATCAGATAATAATATTTTAATATTAAATAATTTATAAATATTTATATCTAATTTATATCTAATATTGGTAAGTGCACACGGTAATAAATAAACTATCAAGATTGATTCAAGATTGAATAAAGACTGGATGTTGAAGCTCCACTCACAAAGATTGACCGAGTCTTGAATCGAGCATGGGACGAACATTGGTGTCCCATGCTGAACCAATATTGAGTGACAATGATATAAAGACTGCTCCAACTCTGGGTTACCCACGCTGGGCGTTCAAGACTAAGTCAAGTTTCAACCCATCGTCAGCACTGGTCTTTCGCGCCTGGGGTGCCACCTAAAATTCAAAAAATTTATTTTTGGCCAAAATGTTGTTTTTTCTATAGTGCTTTACATAAAAAAACACTATGCCAAAGGATTTGCCAAAAAAAAAATTTTTGTTATTGTTATAAACAATTAAAGTTTTCAGACACTTTTTTTTAAAAAATTAATTAAAAAGAAACTTGTTAACCGATTTTAATGATTCAAGAGGCATTCTTTTTTATTTGAGTCAAAGTTTTGAATAAAATTTTTTTCGTAAAAAAATATTGAAATTTAATAAATAAACAAATTATTTATTTATAACAAATTAGCAAAAAACCATGTTCTCAATCGAATTTCAAAATGAAAAAAATAGTACTTATTCTCTGATTACCACTGAGTAATATTCCGTTGAGAAAAAAAATGGCACGGCTTGGACAACTGACTTATTTAAACATTGTTTATCCCGAGCAGAACGGGATTTGCATGTGACGTCACGCGCAGCGGTCCTTTGACGCGGGAATCTAAGAGAATATCAGAGGAATATCAAAAATAATATTAAAATAATGTTTAAGTATTTCTTATGGACGAAAAAAACTATAACAATTTAATTAATTGTTTAAACAATTAATTTTTGTTATTTTTTCATAAACAGTAGTTAGGGCTAGAAATTTCTAGTCTTCTCTCAATTTCTCAATTTTTCAATGAGTAAAACATCTACTAATGGTAATGGCAGCCGTACCGATAATTCCTGACGGTAGTGTAATAAATTTCCATAAATTACCTCTAAAACATCCATAAATTACCATAAATTACCGACATTCAATTTTTTAGGTCTAATTTGTGTTTTACATATTTTAGTAAACTATCGTCAAAATTTTTATAAATTATCTCATAAATTTTCATAAATTGCCGCGAAAATTTCCATAAATTACCATAAATTTCCAATGTTTATTTTTTTAGTTCTCGTTTGTGTTTTACATAGTTTTGTAAACTATCGTCAAAATGTTTATAGATTACCGCATAAATTTCCATAAATTACCGCAAATTTTCCATAAATGACAGAAATCCAAAATTTTAATGATAATTTTTGCTTTACATATATTTACGAATTATTGCAAAAATTTCTATAAATTTCCATAAATTACAGCAAAAATTTTTAATTGTAACTTATGTGGAACATATTTTTATAAATTATTGCAAAAATTTCTATAAATTACTGCATAAATTTCCATTAATTAGTTTCTAACTGACTATTGTCAGTTTACCGTGTAAAAAAAAAAAAAATTTTTTTTTTTTTTTTTTTAATTTTTTATTTATTAAAATTTATTAAACCGTAGTACTGGTTTGCCAGTGTTGTTTTCACAATACTGGCACAGTACTGGCATACTAGTCTTAAAGGGCAGTACTGGCGTAGTACAGAAATTTTATTGAAGCCAGTACTGGTGCAATACTGCGCCTGTTGTGAATACTGGCATTTGACAGAAATTTTTGCTTGGGCATAAACAGTTAAATTATACACGAAAAGAAAAGGTCTGGAAGAGATATCCATAAAAATATTGTTGAGCAGAATATTGTTGTGTTATCCAATTCAATAAAAGAGACAACTTTCAGAATGGAAGCACATTCCATATTCAAATTGGAAAAAATTAAAGGTTCAGGACTTTCGAAATTTCGGCAAAATTTAAAGATTTGAATAGTAAAAATCGATCTTCTCTTACAGTTTTTAATATTTTTCAACGAAAATTTTTTTCCATGCCTATTTTACAATTCTAAACAACTTCTTGCATAGATTTGCAATAATATGCAATAGGTCAAAAGAAAAAAATTCTAACCTCTTCAAAAATTAAAATATTACCTCGTTTAATAATTTTATTTTAAAGGGGTCAAAATAAAGGTAGGGTCTCCCCTTAAAAGAACGAAACTGATCCCTTGAATTCAAATGTTAATTTAAATTTTATGTAATTATTTAATATTTAATCAAATTTATTTCAAACTTGAACTAAATAAAATTTCTGTGAATTCAATAAAATTTATTTAAAATGATTAAAATTTTATTAAAATAAAATTTATTTACATTCAATAAAATATATTTGAAATTTAAATTTAATAAAATTTCTTTAAGGTGAGTAATTCCTATACATTTTATTTTAATTAAGTAAACTTTTACTTGACTTAAGTATATTGTTTACTTGCAGCAAATATACTTTTCATTAAATGCTAAAAGTTTTTTTATTTTAATTAATAATAATATTATTATTTAATTAAATAATTAATGTTTATTCATTTTATATTTGCTTTTTGTTAAAACCGTTTTTTTGTATTATTTTGTAATAAACAGTACTAAATACTAAGTCGTTATTTGTGTTAATTATACTGCTGTTGTTAATTCTATCACAAAATAATTAATTTTTTTAATTTAAAAATATAGTTTATTTCTAGCAAATAATTCTCATTATTTGTTAAAAATAAAAATTTATATTTAAAATCTTTTTCTCTCGGTGAATTGATTCGTTAAATTGAGCTTGAAATGTCTCAATTATTCAAATCATATGTGAATAAAAAAATGAAAGGGATAACTATAAAAAGGACTTGAAAATCAGTAAACTGCACATGTTACCGTGACCCATATTTCGAGTTCGTGTACTCATTACCAAAGCCCATTTAAGCTCATTTCGTCCTTACACGTTTTCTACTTTTGCACTTGCGCGAGTATTTATAAAAAGACATTTTTTCTCATATTATCTCATCGCCATATAATATATATTTGAAGATTCGAAAAATAGGTTGAATTCGAAAACAGAATAATAAAAATTTAATATACTGCACTCACCCTGAATTGTACCACTGTAGGAATGGGTCGAGTCAAATTTTATAGGTCCATTTGTACCCTCGAATACAGCATCCTTCGCGAAAAGATCTGAATCACGAGTCAATCTCATTGTCCATTGTCTGTAATAAAAGAAGAATATTTAGAAAAATTATTTAATGCTTTTTTGTGATAACTTTATTATTTTAATTGTTTTATTTTGTTATTAATTTGTCATTTTCATTTTTTTATTATTTTGTAATTTTATTTCTTAATTTTTATTTAAAATTTTACATAAAAAATACAAAAATAATGTTACAAAAAAACCGCATAAAAATATTACAACTAGTCACTAATTTATTAGTAAACATTTTTACTAATTCAAAAGAGAGAATAATAAATAATAATAAAAAATTATAAGAATGAATACTATTCAGCAAATAATTTTTTATGTAAATATTTTTGTTTACTTATAAATACCCACATAGCACAATCATTTTCTGAAAATTTGCGGCAAGTTTTCAAAGCCAAATTCGAAAACTTGCCTGGCAAATTTGCAGCAAACTTGCGGTAAATACCAAAATGTCCGTTTGGTGGCAAGTTTGCAGAACAAATTTGCAGAAAATTTGCATGGCAAAGTAAATGTTAAATGCATGCGCAGTAGTTTTCTATGACATCTAGAGCTGCGCACTACATTTACATCTGCAAATTTGCTCTGCAAACTTGCCACCAAACGGACATTTTGGTATTTACCGCAAGTTTGCTGCAAATTTGCCAGGCAAGTTTTCAAATTTGGCTTTGAAAACTTGCCGCAAATTTGCAGAAAATTATTGTGCTATGTGGATATAATGTTATAAAATGGGAATTGACATAGGGGCGTGGCTTATTCAATATGGCGGCTTATATACCCCAAAATAGTGCAAAATACACGTGTAATATCAAATTTTTTTCCAAAATGCTAATTAAAATAGAAAATATTTTTGCTTAGGCGAATACGATTTCTTGCCACAGAAATATGATTGAAGAAAATCACGTTCTTAATGCCAATTATATTATTAAGATTGGAAAATTTAAAAATAATTACAGTGACAATTCAGTTTGACAGCTCTGTGTTTGCAAACGTCTAATTTGAAAGAACTGCCGCAGGAAATGAATAATTATTAATTATTATTTATGTTGCCTTTTTTCTTCATTTATTACAATTTATTTATAAATTTCATTTTAAAAATAAAAAACATGATTAAAATTTTGTTTACTATAGGTTAAATTACTCCAAAACAATTTTCATCCGTAAATAATTAAAAAACAAAGAAGCACACTCTTTTCTTGATTGTAACTTTATTTTATTTCTCAGCGATTTTCTAAGCCTTTAATTTATCCATTTTTTCCACTTTTACAACAAAATATTCAACTTCTATATGCAATAATTTTGTTTTGGAAATCTATGTACACGGAAAAAAAAGTTCACGAATCTCTCGTGAACTAGTATATCACTTTTGGATGGGACACAAAATTTCAAAATTTTCATTCACTTTTGATTAGAAATGGCGAACGTCAACGAAAAACTGAAACAAAGTTAATGAATTTTTGATGAACTGTTAAGGAAGAGTAGTTCGTCAAAAGTAGAGGTACAAGTTCACGAAAAAATCGTGAACTAGCGAGTGTCAGTAGTATGCTTAGTTCGTAATGCGCATCAAATATGGCTGATCAAGCATTCATCATTCAGTCGGTGTCATCGGTGTTTACATTTGGGAAAATTCTTTGATGAAAGTTATTATTTAGAATCAGTGTTTTTTATTACTTAGTGAATATTTTTGTTTGCTAATTTCCTTTGTGAAACAAATAATTCATAAAATGAATTAAAAGTTACGATAAGGGACTTTTTCTACTTTGCACGGTCCTGAGGTTTACAGCAGACAAAGCTAATCGTTTCGTTTGTCGAAGGACAGTGTATCTAGATTTAGCCGTGGCGGTTAGTTGTTAGAAATATTATGTTAAAGGGTATAGGTACTAGGTTCGAATCCCGTGAAGCGAATTACGAATTTTAATGGCGATAAAATTGTGTATTCTGTGTAGTTGGGTGCGTAATAGGCGTCAAGTTATCAAATAAAGTGAAATACTATAAAAAAGTAGTGTCTGGAAATTATTTTTTCTTGTTTTTAGCATTTTTTAAAAATTCACGAATGTTTCGTTAACTTTGACGAAAAGTTCGGAAACCGTACTATGTTTCTAGTGAAGGAGTTGATGAAATTTTGACGAACTGTGTTTGTTGATTTTCAAGAATTTTGTGTCCCATCCAAAAGTGATATACTAGTTCAGGAGAGATTCGTGAACTTTTTTTTTCCGCGTAGAGATACTAATAAGTCTTTTTTTGCATTACTGTTATATCCAGAAACTGAACAATTTTCCCGATAAGAAGTTTTAGAACGACTTACTAGCTTAACACTTTCCATTTTTCGAAAATTAAATATATTTACATTTGACACTGTTAACTTTGACCAAATCGGGGTATTTAAATAGTTTGATTTTCCGCCACCAGTTGGCGTCTGATTTATATCAATTCCCAGCGCTAAAACAAAGATGTATCCGTCAACACGACACTTCAACTTTTAGAGCCAAATATCAATAATTATTAATATCAGTTTATTGATAATAAAAATTTGCTTGTAATTATCATAAAGTTTAACTAAGTAAGAATTTCTTACTGATTTAACCTATTATAGTTGGTTACTTTTCAAGTTTTAATATTTGACACAATTTTGCAATTCATTGCAAAAGTTAATCAAATATTAATAAACTTTGAAAATTCCTTTCAAGTGTTATTTTTGCACGCACTTTCTATGCATGAGGAAATAACTAATTTTGTTTCTTATCCTACATAATATTATTTAATGTATATTATAATTCTGTCTATTATATTTTTACAATATATTAGATAAAATACCGAATATAACATTAAAGAATATTATAAAAGTAAATTCATTAAATTTTAATTTAGCCTTAATTTAGATTTTTGTACCGGAGGTACGGTACAAAGTTGACGGTAAAAGGCAACGTGGCACGGTGCATCGCCTTTACGGGAAAATCTGGAGACACGTCTGACTCGCCCTGTGTCTCCCGCTCGACTAACTCTCGCTCTCGAAACCTCAACCGTACCGCGCTTGCGCATAAATACCGCGCATTTTCCCTGACTCTCTCTCTTACCTCGCCAGACTTCGACGAAGCAACACGGCTCTCGCCCGAGAGACACGGATACCTGCGTTGGCGTCGCTGACGGCACGCTCTCTCGCCAACTGTCACTCTGCCGAGTGACGCTCCCAGCCACTGCCACGCCGCCACTTCAACACCGACTCCTCGCCTGCCACCTCGCCGCCTGCCAAACCGTCAACTGCCTGCCGTCCTCCTCAGGGAAAAATATTTGGGGAAATAAATATTTTATTGGAAACGACGTCTCATCTCTCTTCCGCTGGCGGCGGAACCTCACCATTTCCAACAACCTGTCCTTTTCAGGACAAACAACAACAACAAATCAAACTTTACATTGACAATTAGTCGTTTTTAGGATAAATTATCAATTATTTTTACGAAGAATATTTTGTTTCAAACAAACATTGACCGATTAGGTTTGACACACAGGACGTGACTCAAGGCTTCGCGACCTTTTGATCTGTCCTAACCAGGGACAGATACTCAAGGCTTAGACTTTTTGAACTTCTGGTCAAACCTACGACGTCATCTCAGAGGTTGCAACCGGCTCTAGGGGACAGCTTCCAGAACCTTGCTGAGGTTCGGTCGCCCGACACCTAGAGTTGAACGGGACTTCAGCACTCGAACCCTGTTTGGGTTCTTTCTGACCGTCACCGATCGGCTCTGCAATCTGAAGACCATTTTTCTCTCGCTCCTTTGAGCCAGTCATTACTCCTCCACACAGTGACCGGTATCAAACCATATATTGTACAGAAAAGGATTTATAACGTCAAATTTGATGCGAATCTAACCAACGAAAAATTGGCGCTTAATGCTTTGTTTTATAGCGCACCCTTCAATTATTTCTAAAAATAGATGTAAAACAAATACCCAGGTAGAAATTTCAACTCTGTAATGACCAGTCACTGGGAAGTTTTTCTAGATTCTGGCCAGTGATTGACCAGAAAATATGGCAAGTGATTGATTAGAAATGTAACACGCTGCTTTAGCAGTCACTGGTTAGATTATCTGGCCAGTGACTGGCAAGTAACTGACCAGTAACTGGCAAGTAACTGGACAGTTTTCTGCTCAAAATCTAGAATAAAATATAATTTTTCCTGGCTCTTTGTATTTTGTTTATAATTACATATTTAATTATATTTTTGTGTTTATTCAAATATTTAAGACTAATGAACAATTTCTCTACCAATAACACTTAAATCTAAGAACGGTGACTAAATGGTAACTTATCTTAACTACAAGTTAAGATAATAACATATTATTACTAAGTTATAATAATATTTATTTGTTGAACTGCAGTTCTATTCCGATTGTGACCAGAATTTCTGGCCAGTGACCTGATAAACTGTTTAGTAACTTGACAGAGACTTGACGGCTTATCTTGTCAAAATTTAGAAAAATGTAAACTTTGGTAACGTGACAGTGAAACTATCATGGCTTTTAAATAAAAAATGCAAAAATTTTATATTAATTAGTAGAGAATCATATTTTTAAAAGCATGTATAAAAGTGTGCATGTTATATAAAATTATGAATGTTTTAAAAAGACTGTTTCTTTAGACTTTTCAATTTTTGACCGTATCGAACATAAAAATTATTTTTAATATCTAATTATAAATGATTGACTACGAGTGTAGGGGAGATTGGGGAATTGTGGGACACCTCCATTATTTAATAATATTTACAAGTTTCATCATCCAATTAAAAAAAATTTTATTTTGTTCGTCCAAAGTAAATTTTCCATTAGCATTTCATGACTTTACAACGCTTTACAATTACCTACAAACCGTTAACAAAAATCACCTGAAAAATTACATTCAAATATTTATTTTGGGCCTTCATGTTTTTATTGTTTTTACAAGGATTTTCAAGAATTAATTATGGAAAATATTTTTTTTAATTATAGTGTGTCATTGGTACTTTGACTCCAAAAACAA